CGGCACCGGGCTCAGGGCAGCCCCTTCCCTGCTGGGCTGTGATTGTGGCCCTGCTGAGCACAGCCAGGACCAGCCCTGGCACCGGGGATGCTCCAGCCCCGGCTGCTGTCCCCTCCCTGGGGAATGCACAGGACGGTGCCAGGACCCGGATCCCTGCCCCGCTCCAGCCCAGCCTTCACTGATGCTTGGGCCTCCGATTCCCCAAGCTGGGAACGCTGCCAGGAGCCCTGGGGCTGTGGAACCCCAACCCGGGGGTACCCCACTCTGCCCCACCGCAGCCGGGCCTTGCCGGCAGCCCCACAGCCTCCCTACACCGTATCCTTGGAGGAACCGCGCTCTCCCTAAGCAGCTTTGGGGGGATTAGAGGCAGCCCCTTCACGCTGTCCCCTCCCAGCCTTTCCCTTCCTGCTGCTTTAAGTAATCGTCTCCCAGCAGTTGGACTGGGCTAATCCAGCCACCTCCACCTAAGCTGCTCCAGCACCCCCAGGGGGATGCTCGGCCCTGCCCTGGGGAGACCCCAAAAGCAGAAGGCAGCCAAGGGGTGAGGGCAGGAGGGGCTGGGATGCGAAGGGATCGATGGCAGAGAGCAGCGCTGTCACCTCGGGCCACCCCACGGAGCCTTCGTGCCATGTCCTGCACCCGGGAAGGGGATAAGTCCCTAAGGCCGGAGCGAAGGGAGGTGAGAGCCCCTGGCTGAGCCCAGGCACGGTGCCCATGGCCGGGGCTATGAGGACATCCGGGGCCGGCAGCCAGGATGGGGACGTCCGTCTGCAGGCCTGGCCGGGTGCCGGGACCCGCGGGCCCGAGCGCTGCTGCCACGGCGCGGGGGATGCAGCTACTGCAAGGATAAGGCGATGCTCATCCCATCCCATCCCATCCCATCCCATCCCATCCCATCCCACCCCATCACCCGCATGCCAGCCCCCTCCCCTGCTCTGCCCGCCCGCAGCAGGGGCCAGCGCTCGGGCTCAAGTGTGAAACACCCTTTATTGTCCACGTACAAACCTCCCTGGCCGGGAGCGGGAACGTTAAAAGCTGCGCGGTGCTGGGCAGGGCTCGGTCAAGCACCGGAGCCCCGGTTTCAAGTATGGGGGTGTCAGCCTGTAACTGGTGGGGAGACCCCAGCCAAGGGCTGTGGCTTTGGCTTCAGAGGGTAGATGGAACAAGGCACATCCCTTTGCTGGCTCCCACCGAAGGAATGTGGGGTGTAAGGCATCACGGCAGCAATGGGGCCCCAGCAGAGCCCACGGAGTTCACAGGATGGGAGGAAAGGGGGGGCTGGATCCCATGGGAGAGGCGCCAGCGCCCATCCATAGGATGGAGTCTGGGAATGGGCATGGTGGGAGCAGCAGCCAGAGGCACAGAGGTCACAGAAGGGATTTACAGTGTTAGGCAGGGGGAGCCCCTTCCCCAGGGCTGGGATTGCACAAACCACAGCTCCCTCCTGATGTCGCAGCAGCAAAGTCACCGTAAGGCTCCAGGCAGAGGCTTCCATCAGTCATCCTGATCCCATGGGGCCGTTTGCTTCCTGGTCCTGCTGCGCAAGAGCCGGGAAGAGCCCTGGATCCCGGAACCCAGAATCAGCGGGGCTGGAAAAGCCCTTCAGGATCATCAAATCCAACCCTCCACCAAGCCATAGCACCAAGGGCCTCATCCAGGAGGGACGGGTCAGGCCCCTCACACCCTCCCTATGGTACCTCTTTGCTGGGTGCCTTCTTCTTGGCCACACGCAGGCTCTGGCTGCGAGAGAGGGCTCTGGGCTCCTGCTGGGAGGATGCGGCCTCCAAATCCGACCAGATCTTCTCCTCCTCCTCCTCCTCTGTGTCACTCTCGTAGTGCCAGGGGCCGGGGGTCCCGCTGTTTGCTGGGGACAAGGTGTGGGGGGGGGCACACGACAGCTCCCAACACAGCCCCGCAATGGGCTCTGCTTGAGCCCCAACCCCGGTGATGCCCGCTCCTGGCTCACCCAGCAGCTGCCGGTGGCTCTGGGGCTCCTCCAGGTACAGGGGGTGCTGGCAGTGCACGGGGGTGTCCTCGGGCCCCGAGCGCAGGTCCTGCATGCTGAAGCTGCGGAGCCGCCCGGCCAGCGCGCCCTGGCTCTGGGGGGGACAGGGAGGGTGGGTCTGAGCCCCACAGGGCAATGCCCAAAGCACCGGGGCACCATCGGCCCAGAGTGCACCCAGAGAGCCCGCTCCTGACACCCACAGCACCCGGGCCTTGCTGCAGGGGCCATGGGATCAGCTGGGCTGGAAAAGAGCTTTCAGCTCCCCCAGTCCAAGCCTCACCCCAGCCCTGCCGAGGCCACCCCTGCCCCATGGCACTGAGGGGGTGTGAACACTGCAGGGCCGGTGCCTGCAGCCCTGCCCTGGGCAGCCTGTTCCAATGCTGAGCACCCTCTGGGGCAGGAATTGTTCCTCAGCTCCATCTAACCCTGCCCTGGTGCAGCTTGAGGCCGGTTCCCCTTGTCCCATCCCTTGGGAGCAGAGCCCAGCCCCTCCTGGCTCCATCCTCCTGTCAGGCACTTGTAGGGAGCCATCAGGTCCCCCCTGACCCTTCTCCGTCTGACCCCCCCCCCAATCCCTCAGCCCTTCCCCATCACCCCGGTGCTCCAGGCCCTGCTCCAGCCCCGTTCCCCTCTCAATGCCTCCCTTGCAGTGAGGGGCCCAGTGCTGAGCACAGGACCCGAGGTCTGCCCACGGGGTCCTGCCCCATCCCGGTACCTTGGCTGCCGCCTGCACCGCGGCCGTGGCTGCCAGGTTGAGGCCCCTCTTGCCGAAGCGCACCAGGGTCTCGTAGCCGCGCTCCCGGGCGCGCAGGATGTACCCATCGATGTCCTGCAGACGGCACGGGGCTGAGGAGGGGCCACAGCACCGGGGGGGGTGTGCTGAGCGCCAGGCAGCCCCTCACTCACCTTCTCCTTGCGGGACAGGGTGGGGTGCACGACGCTGCGGTAGAGCAGGCTGGCCCCCCGCGTGTACGGGGACAGCAGCCAGATGACAAAGGCCATCTTCACCTCGTAGTAGAAGGGAAACCTGCAGGGCCAGGGGAAGATGGGGCTGAGGGGATGCTGCTCCCTTGTGGGGGAACGGTGCCTCCCCATATAGACAGAGCAGTGCGTGCCCTCCGGTGCCTCCCCATATAGACAGAGCAGTGCGTGCCCTCCGGTGCCTCCCCCCATAGACAGAGCAGTGCGTGCCCCTCACAGCAGGCAGGAGGAGGGGGAGCTCCCTCCTTGCCCCCCCACCGCAGCTCACCAGGAGATGAGCAGGTCGGTGAAGGTCTCTGTGGCCATGAAGAGCGCAAAGACGATCCAGTACATCATCCAGCGGACCTGCGGGAGCACAGCCCCGTCACCCCGCGGCTGCCGCACGGTGCGGGGTCGGGGGGAGCTCAGGCTCCCTACTCACGTATTCCCGGATGTTTTTGGTCTTCACGGCCTTGTAGGAGGCGTAGGCAGGGTAGAGCATCCCGAAGAGCAGCCTGGAACAGAGCGGGGGGGTGAGCAGAGCCTGCCCCAGCAGCACAGCTTGGCCTGGAGCTGCACAAGGGACGGCACCAGCGCGGGATGCGCCCACATCCATAGGGATGCTCAGCTCCATCACCCCACGGACCCGGCCCGTGCGAGCCCCATGGACCCGGTGAACCCCGACCGGGGCTCGGCTCTGCGCAGCCCGGCCCGCACTCACTCACTCGATCAGCCGGCTGAGCACCCACGACACCATGGCTGAGGCGGCCTGGCCGGCCGCGGGCTCCGCGCTCCGCCCGCACCGGGACCCACCGGGACCACCGGAGACACTTGAACAGGGCGGCCGGTGCCACTGAGCATGCGCCGCAACGGTACCCGCCGCTCTTAAAGGGGCAACGGCGGCTCTTAAAAGGGCAGCGGCGTCTCTTAAAAGGGCAACGGCGGCTCTTAAAAGGGTCACGGCACACGAGTATACAGTGGGTCTCGACCTTATATACTAATTTTGCTATTAGTAGTAGCATTAATATTATTAGTAGCGATAGTATATTAGTAGTAGCATTGATAGTATGAGTATTAACATTATAATGGTGATGGGCAGCCACAGAATGCCATTTTTAAAGACAAATAACCCCCGAACCCCAAAGAAAAGCTTGGGAATCTCCTGAGGACGCGGGGTTTGTGCTGCTGAACGCGGATGCATCCCAGGGAACAAGCCCTTCCCTGGGAGGGCGGTGAGGCGCTGCCGCAGGGCACCCAAGAGGCAGAACTGGGCGAGCTTTCAGCTCCCCAAGCAGTGCGTGCCTGTGCACACAGCACCCGGCCCTGGCTCGGGCTGTGGGGAGCGCCGCTGGGTCCTGCCAAGGCAACCGAGGGCAAGGCGCTGAGGGTGTCAGCACCGCCCTGCCGCGTTGCTTCAGCGGGGCCTGAGCTCAGCCCCTGCAGCGTCCCCACCTCGCCTCGCCCGGGTTTACCCGTGCTGAGCCCTGCAGGGAGCAGAAGCTGCTTCCTGCTCCCGGAGCCAGCCCCGGCATCACCTCCCCTTGGCTGTGCATCCCCAGCGCAGCCCAGCTCATGGGTGCTGTTGGGTCCCTTCTGTGCCTGCTCCCTGCGCTTCACATCTGCCTTTTCCCAGTAGGGAAACTGAGGCAGGGAAGCGTGGCACTGCCCAGTTACTGCTGCGTGCCCTGCCTCGCACCCCGCAGCGCCACCCGTGGCATTCCCGACGTGGGGAAGAGCCCGTGGAGCCGCAGAGGTCAAACCCTGCTCCCAAAGCCCCGCCTCGGGGCGCTGCTACCGCTAAGAGGATCTGTATTTGTGAGCCTAATTGGTGGTTTTTCACATGCAGATTCCATCGCCGGGAGACAGGGAACTGCTGCCCTGGAAAACCAGCGGGGCTGCAGCCTGGGGGAGCCTAAAACAAGGGGCTGCCCCTTCCCGAGCTCAGTGTGGAGCCTGTGCAAGGGAAGAGGGGTGCTGTGTAGTGATGCCGGGCGGGACGTGGTGCTTGGGCACGCAGCGGCGCAGCGGACGCAGGCAGCACTCACAGTGGGTTTATTGTGGGAGCGTTTCGGTGGGCACGGACAGCTCGGGAACCGCTGGAACGCCGCGTCCTGCCCTGCAGCGGGCGCAGGGACCGCCTGGACATGCATGGAGGGGGACGGGAGCAGGGCAACCCTGCTTCTGGTGGTGGAGGCACTGCCTCGGAGCATCCCATCTGCCTCAGAGCATCCCATCCTCCTCAGGGCATCCCATCTGCATCCACACTGGAGCATCCTCCTGGCGTCATCTGCCTTGAGGCACCTCTTCCATATCGGAGCATCTTACTGGCCTCCAGCATCCTGTCCTTTTCAAGGCATCCCATCCACATCCACGTCATAGCATTCCCCTGGCCTCGAGCATCCTGTCCTTTTCAAGGCATCCCATCCACATCCACATCATAACATTCCCCTGGCCTCGAGCATCCTGTCCTCCTCTGGGCATCCCACCCACCTTGAGCATCCCATGTCCATCGGAGCACCCCGCTATCCTGGGAGCATTGCACCCACCCCTCACACCTCCCCACTGCAGCCTCCACCCTATTGCCCCAGGTTCCCCTATCCCTGTCAGCCCAAACAGGCACTCATAGGCCTGCAGGGTGAGGGGTGTCCCGTTATCCTGCCCACATCCCATGGGATGCCTTTGGGTGCTGCATGTAGGGAACCCAGGAGTCCTGGGGGGGGAACTGGGGGCTGTGGGGCTGGGTGATGCCCTGGGGAGGATCGGTGGGGGGGTGAACACGGGGGTTGTGACCATGGGGCAGCCGGGTGCATGCGCATCCCCAGGCAGGAGCCACGCTGGCAGCTTGGGGCCGTGCCTAGAGGCTGAGGTCCACCACCACGTGCCGGTAGACCAGGGTCTTGGCCTTGAAGCTGGGGGCCAGGAGGAGCTGCACGTCGGCAGCCAGCACGGAGCGGAAAGCCCTGGGCGCCTGCACCAGCAGCTCCTGGAACTTGGCGAATTTCTGCTTCTCCTCTTCCCACAGGTACACGTGGGTGAAGGAGAAGTCACTGCCCAGGGCCAGGTACTGCCGCTGCCCCACGGCGAAGGGCTGCATCACCATGGAGCCGCGGGACGGCAGCGTCTGCAGCTCCACGAAGCGCTGCCCTTCCCAGCGCACCACCTTGGAGTCACCGATGTAGCGGCTGAGGCAGAGGAACTGGTCCCGCTTCACCCTGAAGTGCTTCACCATCTGCACGTCCAGCATCTCGCCCACCTCCCCCTGCGGCACAAACTGCTTCTGCGCCCGGTTCCACTGGTAGATGACGGGCGCCTGGGAGCTGCTGGCGATGATGAGCCGCGGTTTGCCGTCGTTCTCCACGTACTCCACGTCGGTGTCGCGGTGCCAGGGGTGCAGCGCCTGGTGCGAGTAGAAGCCGTTCTGGTTGAGGCGGTAGAGGCTGGTGGAGCCCGCTTTGGAGCTGTCGGCGATCACAAAGTACCACTCCCCGTCGATGGGGAAGGCTTCGATGTCGTTGGGCTTGCGGATCTTCTGGCTGTCGATGTCCTGGATCTTGATGAACTTGTCCACGCTCGTGTCCCAGCGGTAGATGTAGGAGCCGCCGAAGAGCTGCGCCACCACCACGTAGAGCTGCTCCTGCGCCACGATGGGCTTGCAGTGCACTGCGGAGTGAGCTGCCGGGCAGGGCAGCGTCACACCGGGGCCGTGCCTGCCCCAGAGCACCCCGAACAGGGGTCACAGCATGGGACGGGACCCCCGGCACGGGCGCCTTACCCGGGATGTGGTCAAAGTCCCGCAGCTTGCGCTCCACGTAGTCCCACTTGAGGATGGCGCAGCTGCTGGCACCGGGCTGCGCCAGGGCCACGTACAGGTCACTGGCGTAGGTGAAGGGCTCGGCCGACACCGACTGGAAGGGCAGGACCTGGTGCACCACGAAGTCTGCGGGCAGAGGGGGCAGTGAGGGTGTGAGCATCACCCAGGCGCGGGGAGATGGGCGAGTGCGGTCCCTCACCCGTGGTGATGCACTGGAAGTCCCTGAGCACCAGGTCCTGGATGCGCTGACCCTCGAAGTGCCCGGGGCTGCTGCAGAACACGGGGGGGACCGTGGTGTTGGTGCTCTCCAGCCACTCCACCAGCCACTTGATCTGGCAGTCGCAGGCCAGGGTGTTGCCACGCAGGTCCCTGGTGTGGATGGCACCGAGTTAACCCAGCCCCAGTGAGCCTCGAGCACTAGGGGGCCACCCGCAACCCATCCCGGTGTCACCCCCAACCCATCCCGGTGTCACCCGCAACCCATCCCGGTGTCACCCCAACCCATCCCGGTGTCACCTCCAACCCATCCCGGTGTCACCCCCAACCCATCCCGGTGTCACCCGCAACCCATCCCGGTGTCACCTGCAACCCATCCCGGTGTCACCCCCAACCCATCCCGGTGTCACCCGCAACCCATCCCGGTGTCACCCCAACCCATCCCGGTGTCACCCCCAACCCATCCCAGTGTCACCCCCAACCCATTCCGGTGTCACCCCCAACCCATCCTGGTGTCACCCGCAACCCATCCCGGTGTCACCTCCAACCCATCCCGGTGTCACCCCCAACCCATTCCGGTGTCACCCCCAACCCATCCTGGTGTCACCCGCAACCCATCCCGGTGTCACCTCCAACCCATCCCGGTGTCACCCCCAACCCATCCCGGTGTCACCCCCAACCCATCCTGGTGTCACCCCCAACCCATCCCGGTGTCATCCCAACCCATCCCGGTGTCACCCCCAACCCATCCCGGTGTCACCCGCAACCCATCCCGGTGTCACCTCCAACCCATCCCAGTGGCACCCGTAACCCATCCCGGTGTCACCCGTAACCCATCCCGGTGTCACCCCCAACCCATCCCGGTGTCACCCCCAACCCATCCCGGTGTCACCCGCAACCCATCCTGGTGTCACCCCCAACCCATCCCGGTGTCATCCCAACCCATCCCGGTGTCCCCCCCCACCCCGGTGTCACCCCAACCCATCCCGGTGTCACCCCCAACCCATCCCGGTGTCACCCCCAACCCATCCCGGTGTCACCTGCAACCCATCCCGGTGTCACCCCCAACCCATCCTGGTGTCACCTCCAACCCATCCCGGTGTCCCCAGTGCCAGCAGAGTCTTACAGGTCGCTCAGGATGTCCAGTGGCTTGAAGAGGTCCCTGGGCAGTGTCTGTAGGTTGTTGTTGGCCAAGGACCTGTGGGATCAGAGGGGTTGTGGAGGTGACAGCGCACAGTGAAGGGATGAGAGACATCCGCTGTGTCCCTGAGGAACGGGGGACCCCCATTGCCAATACTCACAAGTGGGTCAGGGACTTGAGCCCACGGAAAGTGGCCTTTGAGAGAGCCTGGATGTCATTGTTCTCAATGAACCTGGGGTGGGAGGAGATGGTGGCACGAGGGACCGGTTCCTCTGACCCCCCCCCCCCCATCCTTCCCATGTCTCCATCCCTGTGTCTCCATCCCCATGCCCACGTCCTCATCCCCATGTCCCCCTCCCATCCCTGTATCCCCATCCCCATCCCCAGGTCCCCGTCCCCATCCACACACAGGTACTGGAGGTGTGAGAGGCCGGCGAAGGCGTTGTCCCCGATCAGTGTGAACTTGTTGGAGTTGAGCAGGCTGCAAGGAGAAGGGGGAGGCATCAGCCCAGGGTGGGAGCATGGGCACACAGCGGGATGCCAGGGCGGGCACGTACAGGAACTGCAGCGAGGGGATGTGAGCGAACGCTGCCTCCCGGATCTCTGTGAACGCCGCGTTCACCATGGTCCTGCCGAGGGGAGGAAGCTTCAGGAGAGGGGACTGCAGCAGGAGCCCCCCTGCACTGTCCCTGCTGCCGCCCGGTGCATGCCAGAGCAGCACACACATGAGCACACACATGCATCCCCCGTGCGCACAGCACACACGCGGCTGCTGCACCACCGCGTCCCCGAGCACCCACCAGCCGTGTCCCTCTGGGGCTCTGGTCCCCAAGGTCACAGTGGGGACAGGCTCCATCCCTCACTGGTGCAGGAGAGCTGCGAGCACCGCAGGACGCAGGGACCGGTCCTGGGGTGTCCCCAGCCCGCTCCATCCCGCAGGGCACCCACCGTGCCCCACAGCGGCACTCATTTACCCCCGATGGAGCGCAGCGGGGCTGCCCCTGCATCCCCAGGGCATCACCACCCCGCCAGCCCGGGGCTGTGCTGCGCTCCCTGTCCCCATCCCCGTACTCACAGCGAGATGACCTCGGGGGGCAGGTTCCTGGGCACGGCTTTGGAATCCACGCAGAACGCAGTGTCCTGGGTGCAGGAGCAGCTCGGGGGGCACGGGGGGGGCCGGGGCGGCCGCCGACCCTCTGCGGGCAGCCAGAGCCAGGCCGAGGCCAGGAGGAGGAGGAGGAGAGCGGGGAGCCGGTCCCTCAGCATCCTCCTCCCGCGCCGCAGCTCCATCGCGGCCCGGCCTAGCGCGGTGCCCGGCCCCGGTCCCTGTGCGCCCGCAGCGCCCGGCACCGGAGGCAGCTCCCGCTCCTCCTCCTCAGTGCCGGGGAAGGGAGGCGGCGGGGGCTGCCGGCCCCGCGCTGCAGCGCGCACCGTGCTCGGGCGCTGCGGGGAGGAGGGAGGGGGGGATGCGGGGAGCGACAGCCGCTGTGAGCGCGCAGGGACGGCGGCGCGCACGGGAGCGGGCTGCGGGGTGCCCCTGGGGTGCCCCACGAGGGGGGTCTGGAGGGAGCCGCCATCGCCCGCCCCTCGCAGGGGTGATGCCACCGGAGCTCAGGCACCGAAGCGTTGCTTTGCCCCGGTGCTGCAGTGCTGGCAGCGAGCGCCGGGCATTGTCCAGCCCGTCCCAGGCACCGCATTCCCGGGCAACAAAGAGCCCAGCCAGCTCCTTCCTGCCCACCCTGGGGGGGGCCCGCAGCTGCCCATGCACTGAGCAGGCTGCAGGACCCGGGGTGCAGCACCCACAGGGGTGTGTGCTGAGGGTGCTGGGCGCTGGCACCTTCTGCTGCCCACTGTTTGCCTTCCCCCCCTTCCCAGTGCCGGGAAAGGGCTCTCGGAGGTTTCATCCCCACTCCCTGCCTCAGCAAACAGAGCACAAGTGGTACCTTGGCAGCTCCGACCTCCTCCCATCCTCCCGGGAGCCTATAAATACCCCCGGCTCCAGCTGGCAAAGAGACAGGAGCCGCATGGAGAAGGAGGGCGAGATGGACGGCAGCTCCAAAGAGGCGCTGATGGAGGAGGCACCTCCGGTAAGGAGCCCCCATCGCTCACCCCATGAGCTGCTATGGGGCTGAGCACCATCCGCCTGTGCCCGTGGCTCACCCACGTTGTCCCCTGTGTCCCCAGATGTACACGGCCTCCCCGCGCCTGCCCAGCATCTCCCCGCAGCTCAAGAGCCTGCTGATGGCGGCGGTGGTGATGCTCATCCTCATGGTGGTCATCGTGGCCTTCCTCCTGCTGGGGCTGCACATCACCGAGACCCATGCCGAAGCGGTGAGGGGGGGAACCGCGGTGCCGCCGGCTCCGGTGGTGGGGTTGGGAGGGTTGGGAATGGCACCGGTTGCTGGTGCTCCGCAGGGATGGGGTTTAGAGCCCCCTGCATGGCAGGTCTTGCGGATGAGCATCCATGGGCTGGACGGGGAAGGGACCCCCCAGCACCTCTCCTTGAGCAAGCAAGAGCGGAGCGGGACGTTCGCCGTGCGGGACGGGCTCAACGCCTCGGCCGTGGTGGTCTATGAGTACAGCAAGGTGCGAGGGCAGCGGGCGCAGGGGAGGGTGCGGGGGCAAGGACGGGGCTGAGCATGACCCGGGTCTGCCTCCATCAGCTGCTGGTCGGCTACAGGTCCTGGCGGCACCGCGCCTGCTGCATCACCCGCATGGACCGGGACAGCATCCCGGGGCTGGACGCTGTCACCGAGCGCTTCCAGCGGCGCCAGGTCAGTGCTGGTCCCCCCTGGGCAGGCAGCGGCTGCAGGGGCAGCTGCTGCAGGCAGTGACCCCGCTGTTGTCTCCCCTGCAGGCTGAGATGGAGGAGGACGGGGACAAAGCCGTGCCCTTGGCCGACCGCTCCATCCTGGGTACCAGCATCAACATCCTCTGCAGCACCGTCCCTGTGTACTGGGCATAGCGTGGATGGGGCCTAGTGGGGACCATGCCCATGCTCCCCGCGTTGTCTACCAATGCCCAGGCATCCTTTTCCTCCTCCTCCTCCTGGCAGCAGCCATGCCACCATAGGGATGCTCCATCCGCAGCTGCTCGACACCGCGGCTTTCCCACCACTCTTGTCATATAATAAACCAGTGGGATGTGCTTTGGGATTCACGCTTCTGTCTGCAAAGTAAAGCCTGTGGCTCTGCCTCGAGTGCTGCCCTTGTCCTCCCCTGCCCCAGGGTGCCAGAGACCCTCTGGTGTCCCAGGGATGTCTCCCTGTGGGATGGAAGCATCCTTCATGTCAGTGTGTCCAGCCCAGCCGCACACAGCAGGGCTCAGGCACCAGCACCCCTCAGCATTCCCCACCAAGCTCCCAGGGCCGGTGGCCCCCCAGTGCCCCCCAGCTTGCACTGGAGGAGGATGAGGTGGCAGAAGGAACCTCCACAGCTCCATGGGCGCAGGCAGAGCCGGGGTCCGGGCCAGCAGGGCTGAGCAGGGCACCCACAGACACCTCCGTCCTCTGCTGCCTCCACCCCTGTCCATGGCAGCCCCAGCTCCAAGCGCTGCACCGGATAACGGGGGATCGATGGGATGGGAGGGAGAAAAGAGACCCCCAGGACCTGATCCAGCCCCCCGGAGCGCGGTGGTGCTGGGCAACTTGGTTTAACCTTGCAATAGGCACTACCCCAGCCTCGTCCCCACCGCCACGGGGCACAGCGGGAGGGGACCATGCACTGACATGGGGCCAGCAGCCCTGAGCCCGCATTGCCCCGGGAGGAGCAGGGTGAGCAGAGCCACAGGTGATGCACAGAGCACACGGGGCCAGGGAGCAAACAGCAGGAGCCACTCGAGGGGCTCCCTGCTCCCCAGCACCCGGGGCAGGGCATGGGGTGCGCCCCTCACCCTGCATCTGGCTCCCAACAGGCCCAGCCCTGCCTGGAGAGATCCCAGCCCTGCTGCAGGAGAGGCTTGAGCAATCCCAAGGGTCACCCTGCCCTGCCGATTGCACCACCCCGGGCACACAGCGGAGCCGGGACCCCTCACCCTGAGCCCATCAGCCCCAAGGCCCCAGCACCACGGGTGTGAGCCCCTCTGAGCATCCTCAGGAGCGTGGTCCAGGGCGAGGTGACCCCACTCCCACCCAGCCTTGCTCGTTGTGGGGCAGTGCTGATGTCCCATTGCCCTTTGCCCACCCCAGCAGCTCCGAGTGCCCGAGCTAAGGGCAAAGGGCCACAGGCACGGGTCCAAGTCTTGCTGCATCCGGATGCTCCTCCCTGGAGAGCAGCTTGAACCCGCTCAGAAGGGTTTGCTTTGGACCGAGCCCTCGCTCCGGGGCGGCAGAGAGCCCCCGCTGATGGGGACAAGTGCCCTTAGGAGCTCTTGAGCTGTGGGTTCCCAGGGGCGTGCAGCGCTGGGGAAGGAGCTCAGCAAACAGCACTGAAGAGCTCTGCATGGCAGAGCCCGATTGCGCACCGGGACCACGGCCTCCTTCACAGGGGCCACTCCGCTCCCCACCCCATCACCCTGGTATAAAGCCCTGCGGTGCGGCCACTGCGGGGCTGGGGGCAGGAGGAGAAGGAGGGAGCAGCCATGGAGAGCAGCGTGAAGCAGGCGGTGCTTGAAGAGCCGCTGGTGAGTCCCTGTGCCCCGCACTGCGGTGGAAGCATCGTGCTGGGGCTGCCCCTGTGCCCAGCAGAGGTGCTCAGCACAGGGCTCTGCCCAGTTTATCCCCGCAAGGCACCAGTGCGGTGAAGAGCCCACGGGATGCTGCATCCTGAAGGCTCAGGGGCATCCCGCCTGCATCCCCAGCTCCTGGATCCTGCTCCTTCATCCCTCTTCTCCCCTTTCTCCCCCATGCCCACAGGACCCGGAGAAGGGCAGCGTGTGCTGCTCCAACGGGTGCTGCTCCAACGGGTGCTGCAAGCCGGGCTGCTGCTGCTGGCCCTGCGCCGTGTGCTGCACCAAGTGCGCTCGGTGCTGCATGCCCCGGTGCTGCCGCTGCCCCGGCTGCCCCAGCTGCGGCGGCTGCATCAAGCGCTCGCTCTGCTTCGTCCCCCGCCTGCTCTGTTACCTGCCCCGCAAGCTCCTGAGCTGCCACCGCCTCAAGTGCCTCCTGCTGGTGGTGCTGGTGGTGGTGCTGGTGGTGGTCATCATCGCCGGAGCCTTGCTGATGTGGCTGCGTGTGGACCAGCGCCGCGCTGATGCCGTGAGTAAGGGACCCCCGGAGCCCCCATGAGGGGCTGCAGCAGGGTGCGAGCTTCCCGCTGTGCCCCACAGGTCCTAAGGATGGGGCTGTGGAGAGAAGCAGCCTGGGAGGAGGATGCAGCCACGTTCTATGTGGATGGTGGGGATGGAAACCCGGCCACGGTCATCTATGACTACAAGAATGTAAGTGGGGAGCAATGGAGAGGATGGGGAAGGGGAGAAGGGACCGTGTTGATGTGGCTCTACCTGCAAACAGCTGCTGGTGAGCTACAGATCCCTGCTCCACGGTGCCTGCTACATCGCCCACATGGACAAGGACAACATCCCGGGCCTGGACACCATGGCTGAGGCCTTCCAGCGCCGGCAGGTGAGTGCTGGTGGGCGCACGGCCATGCCCTGGGCAGGATGCGCTGTGCAGCACCCCCCGTGCAGCATCCTGCTGCTGCTGCCGCCTCATCCTTCCTTCTCTGGCCTCTCCAGGATGAGAAGAGACTTGCCATGCCCCTGGCCGACCGCTCCATCCTGGGCACCACCACCAGCATCCTCTGCAGCATCGTCCCTATCTACTGGGCTTAACCTTGCTGGGTGTGTGCAAAGGGTACCAGTGCCTGCAGGGGACCATCCATTCCCCCATCCATCCATCAATCCCTCCAACCCTCAATCCACACATCCATTCCCCCATCCATCTATCAACCCCTCCACCCTTCCATCCATCCCTCCATCCACCCATCCATCCACCCATCCATCCATCCGTCCATCCACCCATCCATCCACCCATCCATCCACCCATCCATCCATCCATCCATCCATCCATCCATCCACCCATCCATCCATCCATCCATCCACCCATCCATCCATCCATCCATCCATCCATCCATCCATCCATCCATCATCCATCCATCCATCCATCCATCCATCCATCATCCATCCCTCCATCCCTCCCTCCATCCCTCCCTCCCTGCTTCCCTTCATCCCTCCATCCCTCCATCACTCCACCCCTTCATCTCTCCCTCCATCCATCCCCATCATTCCCAGCACCTCCACAGCTGCACCCTTCACCACACCCTGATTTTGGGGGCTGGGCAGGAGGTTTTGAGGGGCATGGGGTGGGTTTGAGGGGTGCAGGGGCTGAGCAGGGGTGGGTTTGAGGGGTGCAGGGGCTGAGCAGGGGTGGGTTTGAGGGGTGCAGGGGCGGCGGGGGCGGTGCCTGCTCGGGGCCGTCTGTTTTGTCACTTAAATCTCAGCTTCGCCAAGCCCAGAGCGCAAAATGAGCTTAAACCACCCCGGGGCATTCACGGAGCGAGGGCTCGGGTCCGGTCCTTCCCCTGCTCCGCAGCGCCCGAGGGGCTCTGAGCGGGGCCACAGCCTGGGGGGCTCAGGGCCGGGGCCGAGCTGGGGTCCGAGCTCTCCCTCCCTGCGGAACGGAATAAAGGATAGGGGGAAATGGGGTCTTGGAGCTGTTCCTGGCAGCAGCCGCCGCCTGGGGAGCAGCCGTGGGAGCGGGCACTGCCGGAGGACCGGGAGTGTTAGGACTGGGAGGGTGGTGCCGTCAGGGTCAGGCACCATCAGGATGGGGATGCTGGTGCCATCAGGATCAGGCACTATCAGGACCGGGATGCTGGTGCATTAGGATCAGGCACTATCAGGACCGGGATGCCGGTGCATTGGGATCAGGTGCTATCAGGACCGGGATGCCGGTGCATTAGGATCAGGTACCATCAGGACCGGGATGTTGGTGCGATCAGGGTCAAGCACCATCAGGACCGGGATGCCGGTGCATTAGGACCAGGCGCTATCAGGACCGGGATGCTGGTGCACTATGGACCAGGCACTATCAGAACTGGGATGCCAGTGCATTAGGATCAGGACTATCAGTACCGGGATGCCGGTGCATTGGGATCAGGCGCTATCAGGACCGGGATGCCGGTGCATTAGGATCAGGCACCATCAGGATGGGGATGCCTGTGCATTAGGATCAGGCACTATCAGGACCGGGATGCTGGTGCATTAGGACCAGGCACTATCAGAACCGGGATGCCAGTGCATTAGGATCAGGACTATCAGTACCGGGATGCCGGTGCATTGGGATCAGGCGCTATCAGGACCGGGATGCTGGTGCACTATGGACCAGGACCAGGCACTATGCTGCTGTCCCGGGCTGCGCACCAGTGCAGGGCAGGAGCGTGGTGCAGCCCCGCAGTGGCCTCTCGCTGTCACCGCGGCCGTGCTGGGGCAGACACCGGTGTCCGGCTGCGGCCCCGCTCCTGGCAGACGGGAAGCGGCTCCCGCAGGGAGAGCGCAGCTGCGGCTGGCGGGGATGCGGGGCGTGCATCCAGGGCGTGCATCCAGGGCGTGCATCCAGGGCGTGCATCCAGGGCATCCATCCAGGGCATCCATCCAGGCCTCCTGCGGCCCCCAAACCACCACCTCCCACAGCCCCAGTGATCACACACTGGATGTGGAGGGCTCCTGCGCTGAGCTCCCAGCCCCGGGCGTTAGCATCCATCCGGAGCAGCGGAGGGATGGGGAATGAGGGCAGAGCCCCCAGTGTGTGCTGGGAGATGGAGGACTCAGCCCCAGCCCCAGCTCGTGTCACAGGGCACAAGGGGGCTGCACACAGGGGATGGTCCCGGTGCTGCACAGGGGACCCTGGGGGGTGTCACTGGTCCTGGCACTGGGGGGAGCAAGCTGCAGGAGGGGTGGTCCAGGGTGGTCCTGCAGGATGGGGTCTGGGTAGGATGACAGGCAGTGGGTGACATCCAGGGGCAGAGCATGGGGAACGTCCCATGGGCCTTTGGGGCTGCATCCTGGGCAGCACCCAACAGAGATGCAGCTTTTCCAAGGCTTTTGGGGATGCCCTTTGGGAACGAGCAAAGGGAGGGACCAAAGATCACGCTAGGACCCGGACCTGCGGCTCTTACCTCTGCCTCGCCTCGGCTGCTGCACGGGATCCACGCATGAGGGATGCGGCAGAGCCGGAGCTGGAGCTGGAGCTGGCTCATGCGTGGGGTGTGCATCCGGAGGCCTGTTTACCCCAGGGCTCCAGAAGACATCATCTGTCCAACACGTCAGCGGGAGCTGCCTCCGAGCCAGGGATCTGTGGGGCTGCTCCTGCTGGAGCAGGCGGTTCCTGCTGGGGGGCACGGGCTGCAGCACCCCACGGCCGCCCATCGCCTCGGGGGGTGCCGAACATCCGTGGTTAAGGGCGATCGGGATGCTTGGAAAACCACGTCAGCAAAGGGAGTGGTGGGATCCTTGGGGTGATGCAGGAAGAGGGGGAACCCTCCCCTAGGATCCCCAGATCCGCCCATGAGAAAGGGGCGATTCCAAGGTGGAATCCAGCATCCAGGGAGCCGCGTTCCAGGACAGCCGAGGGCGCTCAGCACAGAGCAGGATGGGGATGGAGGCTTAAGTGGCAGAGAGAGGAGGGATGGCCGTGTCCGTGGCACCATTGCCGAGCTCACCCTGTGTAGGGGATGCCCAGCAGCAGTTTTCTGTCCCGGCTTCTCCGCATCCCAATCCTTTCCTAAGGGATTTACATCCCCCGGGACTCACCCCCAAACGTCCTCCCCAGCATAAGCAAACCTGACCGATGGAAATAGAAAGATTCCAAAGCGTTTTCCATGGAGGATCTCTGTGTTTTCTTGGGAGGCACCGGGGATGAGCGAGGCGGCTGCTCCCCACATTCCATGAACGAGGCGGCTGCTCCCCACATTCCATGAACGAGGCGGCTGCTCCCCACATTCCATGAACGAGGCGGCTGCTCCCCACATCCCCATCCCCATCCCCAGCCTGCCCCGCGCAGATTCCAGGGGGAAGCTCCACTGGCTGCAAGCAGGGGGCAAAGCCCATCCTGAGGGGATTCACTGCTATGGGGGGGGAATCAGAGCCTGAGATGAGGCGTGAAGGAGACTTCCCTGTGCCTGGAGGGGGTCTGCATGCGGGAGGGCCCAGGAAGCAGATTGGGGGGTTCAATGGGAAGGGGTCCCGTGAGCATCCAGCGCGTCCCCAGGCCCCCAAGCTGAATGCTTCATCACCTCCACACTAAGGCTCAGTCGCTCTGGGAGAGCGGTGCAAGGAGTGGGAAGGGTGGCCTGGAATAAGGAGCCAGGAGCTGGGGGGGGTTCCCCATCCCTCCTATGGCACTTCCCGGGCTGGGATGTGCTGGATGGACCCTGCAAGGCAAGGCTGGACCCGGAGCGTTACCCAGTGGATCCCATTTCCCACCTTGGGGCACAGCTCATCATGGGGGGCACAGACCCCCCCGGAGCTGTCGGAGGGCCCCAATGGCAGCACCATGGCCTCATCCTGCCCCTGTGCCCGTCACCGCCGCGCCACGGCTCCCACCCACCCCATGGTGCCCCCTGCAGAGCTGGGGGGGGTCCATGGGGACCTGGCGGGACGGGCCCCGGTGAAGTGGCAGAGCTCCGACGGCAGATGTCACCCACAGCCCTCGGCCGGGCCTGCGGGATGCTCGCTGTGCTCCGGCATCCAGACACCCTCTGCCCGCTCCGGGGGGGCTGTGACCCACATGGGGCTACCTTTGGGGTCCTGGAGGGAGGGCACCGGCCCCACACTGCCATGGGATCCCAGGGATGGGGGGGATCCAGGCTCCTGTGATGCTTCACTGGAGGTTTTTGGGGTGCAGGGAGCTTCCGAGTGCCTATTCCTGGGCCTGGGGCTCACCCCTGTTTGGGAAGGGTGTGTGGTTGGGGATGCTGCATCCTCCTCCTTCTCCGGCAAGGCTCGGGAGGATGTGGGATCGGGGGTCCAGGCCCAGGAGATGTGGGGGTGCAGGTGTGGAGAATGTGGGGAAAGCAGGAATGGGGATGTGGGATGGGAATGTGGGGTGCAAGATTGGGATATAGGGATGTGGGAAGGGGTGAAGGACTGGAGGTTGTGGGGCACAGGGCTGGGGCCATGGGGTGCTGGAGCTGGGGTTGCAGGATAAGGGGCTGGGGGACATGGGATGGGACATGGGGGGGCAGGTTCTAAACAAGGGAATAGCGGATGAGATGGGGGGGCAGGATTGGGATCAGGGGATACAGGAGGGGACCAAGGGGGGGGGGGCAGGACTTAGGGTGAGGGACATGGGATGAGATCGAGGGGGCAGGATCAGTGCTGGGGGACACGGGAAGGGACCGGAGGGGGCGGAATCGGTCCTGGGGGAAACAGGACGGGAGCGGGGAGGGGAGGGGGGGGCAGAACCGGGACCGGGGACTGCGGGACCGGAGCGGGGGGGACCCAACCGGGACCGGGGGCTTGAGGACGGGGTCCGGGAGCCCCGGGCCGTGTCCGCGGCAGCAGCTCGGCCCCACCGACCCCCCCCGGCGCTGGCCCCGCTCCCAGCCCTGCGCCCGGGGCTGCAGGGGCCGAGCCCGGCGCCTGACCCCGCCCCCAGCGGATCCCATTTCCCTACAGGAAAAAACGAGGAAAAAAAAAAAAAAAAAAAGGAAAGAGGGAGCGGGAGGGAAAAAAATAAAAAAAAAAAAAAAGGAGCGGAGGGGGAGGGCGGGAGGGGGAAGGAAAAGCCCCAAAACGGCCCAAAAGCCGCCGGCGCCGGCGCTGCCCGCCCGCTCCCGCGGAGCCATGGCCGGGCTGCGGAGCTGCGGGCTGCTCCTGTGCCTGCTCCTGGCCCGGGCCATGCACTTCCCGGACTATTCCTACGTGC